TAGATCCACATTCCACACTGTAAAATCCTAAACTAATCCATTCACTGCATGCTAACAAGCCCCAGGAAACTCCAATAGCTCCTCTGGTTTGCAAAAAATATTCCAGACACTCTGTTCTAGAAATCAAGCACCTTTTCCTTATTGCATTTTGCTTGTCCATCAGAGCACTTAGTACAGAAGTGCTTAATATCTTTATCCTTTTGAGACTACTTTCCCCAACATATTGTGAACTGCTGTTGAAAAAAAAAAGGTTATTTTAATGAACAGCTTCTCGTGTCAAAGAAAACAAAGTTTGTTGAGAATCTATTAAGTGTAAGTCACTATGGTATTCATTAGCACCATTCACCAAATATTTTGGTTTTCTAACCCTTCCAAGCACAAAGTAGGAATTGCATTTCCTCATCTCCTTGTAGTTAGTTAGGTACTGGTGATTAGTTCTAGTCAACTAGCAGAGGATAGAAAGGATATGTTGTTACTCCCTGACAAGAACATATAACAACTGTTACAAGACCCTCCAGGCTTTCTTTTCCCCATCTTGGCAATATTCCCAATACTGACTATTCCATCAGTCAGTTTTATGATTACTACAATCAGTAGTAATTATGATGAGCAGAGCACGCTTTCTGTTGACCCGTGAAAAGCAAACAAAACGTTGTTATTTTAAATCAGGAATATTTGGGGTTTTCACTGCAGAACATCCTATCCTGATGGCACTGATGACAGTGCCACGATAAATGTTTTCACATATACAATTTGGTGTCCTCAATAATCTAACAGTTACGATACAGCATATATGAGCCATTTTTATATAAATGAAATTTAGAGAGGTACATAGCGCAAGCCTAAGTAGTTCTACACATTCCTTCATTCAATAAGCATTTGCTGAGCACTGCTCTCTGCCCAGCTATGTTCTCTACCTCACCCCACAGCCCCCACCCCTCCTGCTCCCCACCCTTGGCTGTTTTAAATAGCCAAGATAGGGAAAAGGTTGCGGCTCCCGGATGTTACGTTCTAATAAGAGACAATTTTTGAAAATCACATATAAAAAATGAAAATTCTACATGGTGATAAGTGATAAAGAATTACAACCAAGAGATAGGATAATGGGTGGCTAATTATACAAATCAGAGAAAGTCTCTCTGGGCCTATCATTTTTAGGTTGACACCTGCATGACAAAGGAAGAGCCAGTTATGGGGATATCAAGAGGAAAAACTTCTGAGACAGAGCTCACGCAAAGGTCCTACGGGAAAACAAGCACGTTGAATGGGGAAAAAAATAAAAAACCTCCAAAAGTCAGCGTGGCCACCACATAATGGACAAGGATGGAATTGGTACAAGATAAAGTAATAGGGACAGGAAGGAGAATAACCACATAGGGTTTCATATAAAAGTAAGTATGGATTTGATTTTCTGTGTAATAGGACACTACATGAGAAATTTAAGCATATTTGTAGAATTCTTATTTTTAAAACTTTGCTCTGGCTACTGAATGAAGAGTGAGTTACAGTGGAGCAAGAATGGAACACAAAGTCCAGTGTGGTGTCAGGGGTCTAGTAGTTTGGTAATAAAGCATATGGGCAGAAGTGCACACATTTAGGACAGGATGTAGAGGGTAGAGTAAGACTGATGTTTGGACTGAAGGTGGAGGGGCAAGAGAAGGAAAGGAATCCAGTATAACTCCTAGCTGTCTGGCTTGAAAAACTGGGTAGATGAGGCTTTCATTTGCTGAGATGGGGAAAATTGAAAGAGGAAGTTTACCAACATGGAAAGAAATCCAGAGTTCATTCTTAAACAGGTTAATATGAAATGCCTCTTAAACATCTACATGTGGGTGTTAGTTTGAATAGGATTCAGAAGCTCAGAAAAAAATATTGTACTCGATAGAAACTGAGAAAGTATCGACGGAGTGCTGTGAAAGTCCTACATGAAATGAAGGCATCTAAAAAGTATATGTAGGTGAACAAAGAAACAGGATCCAGGGCAGAGCTCTGCAGCACTCTAACCTTTAAAAATGTGAAAAGAGAAAGAAAAACAGCTAGGGAACCTGGGCAGGACCAGCAGTGACGAAGAAAGACAATCAGGAAATAGGGAAAGGCAAGAAAATAATGTGTTTAAAAGAGAAAGGTGTGGTCAATGCTCAATGCTGTTGAGAGGTCCCAGAAGATAAGAACACTGGATTTAACAAAATGGAGTTCAAGGCTGACCTTGATAAACACAACCTCTGTGGAATAGTGAGCATGAAAGCCTTCTGTGGAGGAGGTTAAGGAAGGTATGCCAGGTGAGCAAATGTAAACAAGGACAGTAATCAAAATTAAGAAGTTTTGCCATGAATAAAAGCAAAAAGATGGGGCAGCAGGCAGGATGGAAACTGGGATCAAAGAAAGTTTCTTAAAGAAAAAGACCTTACTCCCAATTCCAACCTATGGAAATTCCAAATCCCTCATCAAGACTTCAGAAACTCCTAGAAGGAAACTGTTGTGATAGTGATGTAGAAGTTTACGTTGGGCGCACGGATAAGGGACAGGAGTAATTACTTCAGAGTGAGTACCTCTGTCTCTGAGGTCTCAACATCCTATACACACATTTCTGCTGTGTATACCATGTTAACTTGCAGTTCACCAGGGTAGAAGGGGAAGGGCTCATCCAGCATGCAGGATAGGTACACTTTGCTGAAGATTTGAAAGGCATAAGGAAAACTTGCATTGCCTACTGAATAGCAAAACAATGAAAAAACCTCACATTAAATATTCCCACCCTTAAAAGTCCTTTCAGTTCTCCTTCCACAGGGAGGTTTTCAATGGTCCTCTGTCCTTCACAGCACCTGGTCTTCTGTTCTCCGACTAGTGACTGTTCTCTGACTCCCTCTTGTTTTTCTTTCTTTCGCTCTAACTTACCCATTCCCTCTGAGACAAAACATACACACACAAAACAAAAACTTCGTGCATGTATGATGTGTGTTTGTACAGGTTTTTTTCTGCAGAGCTACACAGTATCTTGTTTTGTTTAGTAGGGGGGATGCTTGGGTACCCACTGATACCCACATCCTTATCTTTTGCTTTCTAAAAGCAGTTGTGGAACCAGTTCTATAAACAATACATTTTCCATCTCGTTCCATATATAAACCACCAGGCAGGGCACCTATCCCTAAGAGGCTTTCAAGAACCACCAAGCTCTGGTCTTCCTCCCTTAATGAAAAAGTAAAAACAGGCAATATTCTGATACAATTTCAACAAGCTCTCTCTACACAGAAGGACATTCATCAAGGTTTATCAAGTTGCATGATATGTGATGCTGTGTTGGAAGAATACTCACTGGTTCCTTCTAACCATAGGGTTACAGTAAATCAGGATGACCTGGATTTACTAAGAACAGAGAAACCATCATAGAGAACATCAGATTTTCATATTGTGTTGGTTTACAGGTCGCAAAGAGTTTTGTGCCCCTGTTAAAATGTTTAGATCTCAGCATGCTATGTTTACACAATCTCTTTTTTCTCCAGGAACTTTAGTTATACTACATAAAAGATAGATAAATGAGACTGGCCACCTGTGGCCATCAGAAACCTGCATCAATCTGGAATCACCAGCTCCTTAGCCAAAAAATAGCAACCTATACATATACAGAAATAAATGGAAAAGGTTGCGTGGATATATAAACATGCTTCCCTAACTTTTGCAACTTTCTGCACTTCTGAAAAGGTCATTTGCAATAAAATACACTGACAGTGGCTGTCCATTCTGAGTGAAAAATTCAGTGTAAAAAATTTTTTTTAAGTTTATTTATTGTTGGGGCACCTGGGTAGCTCAGTCGGTTAAGTGTCCGACTTCAGCTCAGGTCATGATCTCACAGTCCGTGAGTTCGAGCCCCATGTCAGATTCTGTGCTGACAGCTCAGAGCCTGGAGCCTGCTTCAGATTCTGTGTCCCCCTCTCTGCCCCTCCCCTGCTTATGCTGTCTCAAAAATAAATCAAAACATTAAAAAAATTAAAAAGCTTATTTATTTTTGACAGAGAGAGAGAGAGCACAATGAGGGGAGGGACAGAGAGGCAGAGGGGATAGAATCTCAAGCAGGCTCCAGGCTCTGGGCTGTCAGCACAGAGCCCGATGCAGGGCTTGAACTCACAGACTGCGAGATCATGACCTGAATCGGAAGATGGAAGCTTAACCGACTGAGCCACCCAGGCACCCCATGAGTGAAAAATTCAGTCTATATGCAAACGTTATTGGGAAAAATGAAGATGCAGGAATCAAGGAAAGGTATAAAATGACTGGCATTTTATGTTTAAGGGGCAGTTTTCTTATAGGTTACAAACTGGTTAAAGATACTTGACCAAAAGAAGAACTTTCTACAATCCCTAACCAAGTTACAGTTCATATCTCCATATACATAACTGGAAGTATATTGGACCCCTCCTCGCCCCCACACCAAATGCCTCACAAAGCCAGCATTACTCAATGAAGGCACTGACCACACAACCCTGCAGTTCCAGTTTAGTGCTGACAGCCCCGCCATATAGGGGAGACACCATCGGTATTTTTCAATCAAGAGTCTTGAGCAGCTCCCCTATTTGCCCAATCTCTGCTCACCAGATACTCCTTCTCCCCCTCTAAATCGAATCTTTGTCTTTTCCAGTGGGGACAAAGTACATTTTCTTATATACAAAAACATTTCATCATGATGGAAGGAAAACAGATTGATACTTTTCTATTCTTAAAACTGATCTCTCTACGTCCCTCAATGTTACTATAGGCAACGGGGGACTTCAAATTCAAATCAAAGACCCGAGCATGCATGCGCACACACACACAGAGAGATACTAGGAGTAGAAATAAATTGCGCAGATCAAATTTCTTTTATCACTTTTTTCTCTAAAGGTGAGGGTAAAATAATGCAAGAGAAAAACCAATTAGGTCGCAACACTTGGATCTAAATTTAACAAAACACAGATGGGGCAGAGAAGGGCTGAATCAGAAAAACAGTGTTGGTTCTTCAGTCTCACCTGTACAGGAGAAGTCATCCACGCGAATGTATCCCGGGATACAGTCACAGCGATATAACCCAGGCAAGTTGACACACACAGTATTGGCATGACAGTAATGCATCTTAGCTGCACATTCATCAATATCTGAAGGAGGAAAAAGAAAAAAAGAAGCAATATCACAGTGAGGTGAATGACGGAACTATCATATAACCATGTTGCAATGAAATTTAAAAAGGCAAATGCCCAACAAAGCTAAGAGAAAATGCAAGATGCATTAAACACAAAATCTTAAATGCAAATTCAGCTGCATTCAAGTGCATCAGATCCCATCTTGAGCTGAAAGTATTTCCAGAAAGATGCACAGTGAGACGCAACAGCTAAGAAACCTAGAGGTATGAAGACTGAACCTACTATTACTAATCCCTCACCACGGAGGATGCTGGATTTAAACATCCAAAATCAAGGAGTTCTATGTCCAGTGAGTTGATACCAATTAATATTTATTAGATGTCCACTGTACATGGTGTAGCTTTTATCAGGGAGATCAAGGGAATCCAGGCTTCTCTGCTCATGTGTCTTACTAAGACATGCTTTAATCCATCTGTTAAAAAATGATGGTGCAGCCAGTTTCTCCCATGGTGTATTTTGAATACAGACAGCAGCTGTGGTCTAATGCAAACTGATGCCTTTCATCCCTTGACCTGGAGATTCATCCCATGAGACAGAATAATGGGCTGATTCAGCAAAAACATCTTTTTCTTTCTGGAACAGAGGTCAGAGCATCCCCTACTTTCTCATAAGCATTCATGGGAAGAATTAGAATCACCTACGACCTTAGTACAGAGTTTAATTGAGTCTTTTCTGGAAGTTGTTTTCAGAAATGGCTTTATGTTCATTTTACTCAGACTGCTTATGTGTGAAGGAGAGGAAGGGGGAGCAGCACAGTGTAAGAACCTAAGACAGACAATGTGAGTTCTGGTTCTGGTTCTTCCACTGACTAGCCTGTGACTTCCATTTAACCAGTATGAGTTCCAGAATTCTCGTGAATTGGTCATGCAGGCCAGTTCTGAACCTACATCTTTAAACTCCTTATCTAATTTAATCCACAAACAATTCCACGATCACAGTACAGCACTACCCACATTTTGCAGTGTAGACAACTGAGGCTTAGAGAGGTTAAATATGTGGCAAAAATATATACCATCCTGTTAGAACATGCTACACCCAGGAGTGGAACTCAGAAGTCAATCATTTATGATGATTTACTTAATGAAAGCACCTTGAAGATGAAGATGATAGTCAACCACAGTGTACTATTAAGGTAATGACTGAAGTCCTAATACGCTTCATGTGTAGAAACAGAAGACAAAAACACCTATAATCTCACTTATCTATATTAAAAGTAAAAGTAGATTGACTTACTTCCTGATAAAACACACTGAAGTAACACCAGATTCTTTTAAGCACTAAACATCTCTCAGCCTATAAACAAAAGTTATTGTGCAGTAATCGAGGTCCTAGAAGGACACTTGCAGTTAGCAAGACTTCCATAACTATAAAGAACAAAACACCAGAAATTAGAGAAATGATTCAGGCAATAAACCAAGTGTTATACTTGCACAAGATCATGTGCTTTCAAAGATGATCCAAGACAATGCACAATTAAAATAAATGGACAAAAGGAATATTAAAACTATATAATAAGATTACATCAAGCTAAGCTGTGGAGGGAACTCTCCCACAAACTTAAGACAGAATAGTAGCTGCACATGAGCATGAGATATGGTTTGGATCTCCCCGGCACCCAGGACATTAGAATTCTTTTAACAAGTCGGTTCCTGGCATCATTTAAGCATTTTTGCTTCACAGACCGGCGGATACCATAAAAGTCAAGAGGAGTATTTCAGGAGAGGACTAACGATTATTTTTGTCACCTGCTGAATAAGATAAAGACATAACTAACCACTGGATTTGGCAAGAAGTAGTTCACCGCTGACCTTGACCTAATAAGAGTAGATTTGGGAAAGTGGTAGAGAAAAGCCTGACTGGAGTCCATTAAAGAGAGAATGGAAGATGAGGGAAGAGAGAAAAACAAGGCAAACTTTTTGAGATTTTTTTTTTCCCATAAGGAAAAATGGAGGAGCAGCTCTAGGGAGACTTGGTGTAGACAGAGTCTTATTTACAGATGGAAGAGATCACAGCACATTTGCAGGCTGTTGGGAAGGATTCAATACAAGTGAAGCGAACTGATGATATTGAAGAAAGAGATCACTGTAGGAGCAAAGTCCTGGGGAAGAAGGCAAGAGGGACTGTGCTCCAGCATGCAGATGGAACACATTACCTTCAAAACAAGAATGAAGCTGAGAGATGCAAAAAGGTGGAGATGGCTGGCATATTTGGTGGCTGGAAGACAAAGTAGTTCTCCCTCACTTATTTTTATTTTCTCAGTGAATTGCAAAGAGAGGGTAACATCTGAGAATCAAGAAAGGGAGGGCATATTAGATATTTAAGGAGAGAGGAAATGGTATTAAAAAACAGTCGTTTTGAAAAAAGGAACAAAAATTTACTAGAGCATGTGGGAAGGTGGCTGAAGAGCTACTGTGATTTGCAGTCAAAAATGCATTAAGTGACAGCAGTCAGCATGGCCATGTGTTTTCTCCAGTCTCATTCAGGTATTTTGGGGCAATAGCACGGTAGGTGGAAAGTTAAAGGAGTTTTTAAGCAAATATAATGGGTAAAGACAGATACGAGGGAATTGAGGGTATTAAGAAAGAGGTGACGATAATGAAGTAGGAAGGAATCTCGGCTATTGAGGAGAGATGTGAGGACATGAAGAAGGAGGTAGACAGCTGTAAATGCATTAAAATTAGGGGTGGATGGACACTGTGTTACACTCCTGAGATCTCACTTCAGAACTAAAGAATTTAATCCCCCAGCTAAGGGGAGTACTGCCTAACAATCTTCAGCTGTTATCCTTTTAAGGAAATTGTCCTTGGCCAATGAGAGATTATACAGTCAGTCACACTTGAATCCTGGGAGCGACCTACAAAGACTAGTTCTCATTCATCCTGAACTCAAGAGAATTCTAAAGGACCATCCAGATTTCAGAGCACTCAGTGAGACTTTGCTAACTTTTCCCTCTGCCCAATCCTACATTATTCCCTTCCCCAGAGGCATTCATCCCTATAGCACTCTCTAATAAACTTCCTGCACTCCAGTCTCCATTGCCAAGTTTGCTTCTGGGGGAACCCAAACTGCCGCAGCAATCCTAATGGAGGCAAGGTGTAGTTACAGTGAGGGTCTAGAACACATGAGCTAGAAAGCTAGAGGAGGGGTTACAAAGCAGTGTGCCTAACATTAATATTTTGAAAGTGATTCAGTTATTGGTGATTACAAGGTCTTTCCCAGCACTATGGGGGAGTGGAAGAATAGATCGTTGTAAGTGAGAGGCTGGGAACACCAAGAGAAGCCAGGCACTGGAGGAAGTTGGTTGGCATTAGTGCTGTTCATCGAACAGATATTAACAGTTTTCCTCCTCCTGAGCACATCACACAACTGTGCTTCCCCATCCTCTTGGAAGCTAAGCAGAGCTGTATGAGTGATCATGAAGTCTGAACAAAGCACAACACTTCCAGGTGGAAATATTAAGAGCCAGCGCCTGACTTACCACATTTTCTTGTTCTGGCGTTGGAAATCATGGAAGCACAAAGATGGAGACTCTTTGAGCCTGGGTCCCTGAGTGAGGCATAGGCAACCAGACAAGCTTGGTGAACATGTTGCATGAACTAGAAATATGCTTTCACTGATTTAAGCCATCGAGCCCACCCTGGCTGGTATAGAGGGTGACTAAGAACAGCATCTCAAAAATGAGATCTTTAAGCTTGATCTTAAAAGATGCACAGAAATTCACCACGTAGAGACTGGAGGTGGGGGAAAAGAAGGGAAACTACAGAGACTAAACTTTTTGTCTGTGCAGAGTCAGGAAGGGAGAGAATCACTGAGTCATGAACATTAATTAGCCCTCTGCTAAGCCCTGAAGCAGAGGATGAACAAAATGCCACCACAAACCTCACAGCCTGGCAAGACATTGAGCAAAACTTGTTATGTCCTACCAAGAATGTGAGATCTTTTACCAGGGGGCTTTGATCCAGGCTGAGAGGGCCACAGGAGCAGTCTCTGTGGAAGTGAGGCTTCATCCAAGACCTAAAACACAAGTCCAACAGGTAAAGGGGAGAAGAATAACATACCAGACAGAGAAGAATGAGAAGCATTAGAGGAAGGAGCTTTGTCTGTTTAAAGTACAACTGGAAAGATAAGCTCAGGCCAGATCCTGCTGAGCCTTGTGGGCCATGGGAAGGAGTCTAGACTTTAATCAGGGTGGTGACATAAACCAATTTCTGTTTTTAAAATATCAGTCAGCTGTACTGAAGAAAATGGATTGGAGCTGGGCAAGCTGAAGGCTAAACACGTTGGTATTTTACTCACAGAGAGACGGCCACACTGAACTCCATCTCATTCTGCCGGGGTGCCCAGGCATTCTTTAAGATGAGAAACTAGTCAGGACTTGCCTTAGAGGCAATTCAATCTTCAGCCCATGGGCCACAGCCACCAACCAGGCTGCTGACTGCAATGAGTGTTTCCCTGTCATGGACCCTTGTCAGCTCCACCCAGAGAGAAACTCCTGCTTCATTTCCCTGAGGCCTCTGGATAACTAATGAGAGGTATCTGCCTCATCTAGATTTGAAGGACTTACTTGGCTGCAACAAGCTTATTTTGACTCAAACAGCCGAACCATTGCTCTTTTTCATAGATTTCAAAGGCCCTAAATAAAACTATTTTCAAAAACAGAACAAGGGGATGGTGAGAAAACCCCAGTGAGAATTTCTCCCATAGACTTACCCAACCTTTACTCTCTACATGCATGGGGTCTCACACAGGACCCCGGGTCATACATCCCTGCTGCTATGGTGAAGTGTCTTTCAGTTGGTTTCGTTTTCAATTCATATCACTGATAATCTCAGCTCTTGCATATGTCCTAATTTCCAGGTACCATTCCAGAAAGAGACAGCACCAAATAAAGCAGAAAGGTTGACGAATGTACCAGAAAATTCAACTGTTACAACCTTATCTTTGTTGCTTATCCC